TGTTCTCTCACTCCAATGTTGGCCGCAAATATATATATTGAGTAGATAGGCGAAGGGCTATTCCAACCTTCTTACTACTTCATTGGATTAGACCCGTCTCCTTTTGGAACTAGGAACATTTTTGACCCGATTTCAGAGTGGGCGGTGCCTTCTTTAAGACCCCGGTGGTTATCATCTTGGAAATTTCTAGCCACATTTTTTTGTTGACTGTTGTTTCCATTCTGCTGCAAAATTCCTTTGACAGGGGAACGAGTGGTGGTTTCCTTATGAAGGGAATCGAGTAGCCTGAGATCATGCTCAGTAATACTTCCGGAGCTGCGGCTGCCTCCCAATGTTGAACAAAATTTTTCAATTGGCTAGCTTGCCAGTTTTGTTGATCCAGGTTGTCAACGGCGTGAAACCAAGCCTCGAGTCTTCTCCTCTTCTGAAGAATCATAAGAAGTAGATATTCTTTGAAAGTTTCTGTCTATCTTTATTGTAGTGGGGCCTTTGAGGTTTTTTTGACCGGTTTACGAAAATATTTCTGTGGTCTTGTCTCCTGCCTGGCCAAAGGATACTTTCTCTTAAGAGGTCTTAAATTGAAACCTTGCATTTTTAACAATTCTTCTACTCTGGAATCATCGAAAAGCGCTGACTCTGAGGGAGGAACTTTATTCAATGCTAGTACAGCATTAGAAGTCAGAGGAGAAAGTAATTTTCTCCTCATATCTATTGTCTCGGCTCTTTTTCCACAAACGTATTGCAGCAAATTATCGGAGCATTCCCGCCCCCCCCATATCGCTTGCATGTGTATCTTAAATCTTCACTCTTTTCTTCTTCTGTCTTTCCATCCATTCTATTTAGAATTTCTTGCAGCAATGATCTTGTGGCTTTAGCTTTTTCTTCAAGGGCTTCTATATGATCAACTTTTTTTCGGATCTTTGCGTGAAGAAGAGGAAGCTCGGCTGCTCTCTTCTCATGCGGATTCAGAGGTGTCTGGTCATGTATACAGAATCTAAACTACTAACCGATTGGGAAATTAGTTCACAATGTGATGCAGAACCTCTCAAATGGAGGGCCAAAGATGGAGGACCAAGCAAAAGACCCCTACAAAAGGGCCAAGTAAACATCTTGACTTTCATGTCTCTATATGGCTTCTCTTTCAACGACCTTGCTTCCTGATCAAAAGCTTAAGCAATTTCAATAGCTGGTAGACAAAAACGCAATTTATTCAGAGTGGCCGGATCTAGCGTACGGTCATGATCGTCGCGCACCTTCCATTTTTCCCAACCTTTCTTGAGCCGAAGGATCATTTCTTGAGCCGCCAAGGCCCATTTCTTGAGACGCGAAGGCCCATATTTTGAGCCTTGGGGGCGGGCCCCTTTTTGAACCGCGAGGCCACGAACTTTAAGCCAAAGACGCTCGAAATATGAGCCACGGCGGTTAGTTTAGCAAACCATTGGGTCCAAATCAATGAAGAAAACTCGATTCTAGGACAATTCAATGGTTATCTAAAGTCTGTTTTTTTTTTAAAGATAATTCCCCAAGTCAAAATTTCAGTAACTATGTTGGCAACACAAGCCTTTCCTACGTAACAAATTTGAAAGTATTGACAATTTTACATGGTATTGCCAACACAATGTCATTTTGACCTTTATCTTTAAAAAAAAAACAGATTTTAAGCGATAATGAGTGACTAGTAATGCTCGAGTCAATATACAGGGTGTCCCACGGTGGATGGCGTATTAGACGTTGATGGAAAACTAAAAAGCGGATCATTTTGAAAATTTGGAAATATTTTTGTTTATGCGGTGTTGCCGCTTCTACTCTAAACCAGTGGCCTGGATTCATAGCCTGGATTTTCCTCTAAAATTAACCATTTAGGTTTTACAGCGTGTCAAAGTTGCAAAAAGTCAATTTTCAACTGTCAATATGATTCTTTGGATTCAGTGGCACCGAAAACACCAAGGAAAAAAACCAATAAATTATAGGAAAAAATTATTTTGTTTGCCCAATAGCTGTTATAATTACTATTTAAACTGCAGTGGGTACTTCTTCTTATGAACTTTTATTTCACAGAGAACGGCGATAGGATTAAACAATTCTTCATAATTTTGACATACATTTTTACATCTATCCGACTACAATTAAAACACCAGACAGGTATAAGCAGATTTTAGGGTATATTTCAACAATAACCACGCCACTGTGCTGTCGTTCAGGCTCTAACCAATAGAATCATGCCTCTGAATAATCACGCCTCTTCACATCCATTATTTCGCAATGTTGCCAGATTTTTTTCTATTTCAAAACACTACACACAAAAAAAAGTATCACCAACTTATTAATTATTGTTTCCGTCAGGTCTGGCAAAGCACCAAATTCTATTACAGTTCGCCGTTTGGCTACCCAGACTATACAGTATACATACAACGTTTTATCTACAAAGCCAAAAATAGGAATGTTTTTTCACTTATTTTCGTTCATTAGTAGTTGTCTACCTTCAGCCTACCTACCGTTGGCGTCTTTCGTTCTGTTAAACTTGTGTTACTCGGTATGGAGGCGGGATTTGGAATTAAATACTTTTTTTAATTGCTTGTGATTTTTCGATGTCACCCTTCACCACAGATGATGATTTCCAACCACTATGAAGTTTGATTTGGAGGATGCCCAAATATGACAAAATCGCATATAAAAAATCCAGGTCCGTATTTAAAAAAAGTAAGTTGATGATGGCCGCCTGGAGACGACACGTCAGATTTTAAATTAAGTAGCCCCATCTCCTAGAGGGGAAAAAGTGACAACGATAAAGTGACCTTCATTTTAAAATTGCTCTTAAAATAAGCCCGGAAAAAAATAAAAACGATTTAACAAAATTTCGGTTTTTCCGAATATCTCCGGAATCTTTCTAATTTCAAAACGGCATTCTATTGGTCATAAAATTGCGCAACTTTGCCATAATTTAATTGACCCTGTATCTCTTTTTTTTCCGAGATCCCAATGATGAGGCTTGAATTTGGGCCACCCTGTACTTACTTCTCAGAATCGGGTAAACCAAGAAATTTCGCAATTTTTCGGGGCATGACTTGAAAGGAATTTTTTCCAGCAACTTGTATTGAGCATTTCTTATTCTTAAAATAAACGAAAAATCTTTTGTGTTTAGTATGGGATGGCCGTAATGGAGCATATTTTTTAAAAATTTCAACAAAACCAGGCAATGTTTCCTTTCCATCCACCACTATGAGAATGTGACTTTAATCAACAAATACTCTTGTTCTGGTGCAATTGCCATAAACTTTTCTATTTGTTCTTTGCATAAAATTTTTGATTTTTTTGGTTATATAAGTTTTGAGAACTTACTTATATTAATCATTATTGATGTTTTGATGCAAAAAACTGTTGCTTTTAACATTGAATAACAGCTCTATGGGGTGGATGGCTTATTTTTTTTGCTTTTTTTGTTCAATGTATGTCAAATAAAAGAGTTTCTTCTACAAAGTACTGCTGCTCATTAACACCATGTTGGACACAACAGGAAATAAAGTCCTTATATGTTTTTTCAAAGTCTTTTAGACTTTGAAGATAATAGATCTTCCTTGGCCTCTTCAACTGCCTCGAGAATAAACTTGGGAAGGCTATTTTGCTCAATTTTCAGATGCCAGACTGCCTGGCCACTGGTTCTGAGGCTACAGAAGTAATTCAGACGTAAATGTGCGATGTTGCCACGTTTATTTATAAAAAAGCGAAAATACTATATAGACATGAAGTATAATTCATTTGAAATTTGTAACATTGCAAATGTCACTTGTTTTCTTTTCTATAAATAATAATAGACCTGTCTCGCATAAATAGAGAAAGAGAGCCTAATTGTAATAAATACAAGTTAGAAAGTAATAAAAGATGACATGCGCGCGCAACTCGTAGGTTCAGTGTAGCCAGATTGTATTGCTGCAGAACAAATAAAGACAATACAAATCGCACATTCTAACATTAAAGAAGTGATATAGTGTCAAGTATTTTACAACGCCTTGAATCAGACAAAAGAAGCGCTTGAAAAGTTTATGTTAACATCGTTTACACTTTTATTTTGATAAATATTTCATCCGGCAACATTGCACAATGAAATTGCAAAGGAATATGTCAAGTATAATCTGACAAAACCTTGAACGACACTGCGGTGAGTTCAAGTAATATGTAAAGTATTAGTTTGCTCTTTGTCGAATTACACGTTACAAAGAAAGAAGGAACGATTCAGTCTGAACTGGCCCCTGAATAAGAATATGACGCAAACCTGTACCAAACTTGCTTCTCATTGGACGCTCACCTGCAGCTTACAAGCGACGCGCGCAGTCCAGGTAATAGGAGATCGGTCTACTATAGTTTAAATTTTCTATAATTATTCAGTACATGTGGCGGCATCTATTACCGGCTGAATGTATTGTTTTGTCGGCGACCAAAAAAAAAAATTTATGTAACCCCTTTTGTTAATAAACTAATTAGGGGTCCATAATCTGCTCAGTTAGCTCAGCCAAAAAAAATATTAGGGGTGGGTTAACTGAGCAGATTATGGAGCCCTAATTAGTTTATTAACAAAAGGGGTTACAAATTCCCTCGGGAAATCCATTTTTTATTAACAAAATATCGATATAAGAAAACGCTAAATATTTCAACGTAACGTAGCATAAAATTTTCACTTACACCTTTCAAAGGTTTGTCAGCTTTAGTAAAGGAGTTTTTACTTCCACTAGCAGTACACCTCTATCGTCTTTCTCCTGTACTCCATCAATAATTTTTATTTTTTGGAATGCGTCCCACTTGATTTATTTACAAGTGAAGGAATGAGAATTCTTCCACTAGTGGAGAAATGAAGCAATTCCGTGATTGGAAACTACGTCGGCAAGAATTCTGTAATAGTAGTAGAAGAAATATTTTCATCCACTCAACAAATAGTTTCTAAAATAAACTATCCCTAAAGCAATTATCCAAGTACCTTTAATTTCATTTTTTTTTTATTCATCTAGGGCATTCCCATCAGATCGTGAGTACACCTACTTTGAATCCCCCGCTCTGTATCCGGTGGCCAATGGAGAAGAGCCAAATCAAAATTTTAATCCTGCAACCAACCCAGAAGTTTCCTCAAATTGTACCATAGACGTTGAGTATTCCGCACCCACAGGGCAGTATATTGTTCAACAGAAAGTTGATGCTAATTCGATGCCTAACAAGATGACACATCAACAAGCCGCTGCTGTAAGTTTATTATTTTGTTTGTTAATGTTAAGAGTTGCACATTTACTAATAGTATATTCAATTTTAAGTTGGGTATAACCAAAATTCCACAATTTACTATTTCTTAGGTCCAATGGTTGATGGAACATTTCGAGATCTCAGCTCGAACTTCCCTTCCTAGATCGACAATTTACGGTCATTACTTAAAACACTCCTTAGATAATAAGCTGGAACCTTTTAATGCTGCTTCATTTGGAAAACTTATACGTTCGGTGTTTCTAGACCTGAAAACTAGACGTCTTGGAACAAGGTACATCCTATTCCGGCGTCAACATACTTATATACTAAAAATATATCATTTCAGGGGCAATTCTAAATATCATTACCAAGGTATTCAGCTTAAGCCGAGCTCTCCTTTAAAAAATATCGAAGCTTCTTCAAGCAAGGTTACTTTGAATTTAAGTTACGCAGACAATTCTCAAGCTACTACTGTCCGTCAATCGGATTCGTCGGATACTACACGGTCAAATGGGTCATTGCTTCAACAAGGAGTGGCATATTTGGGAGAAGCGAGCAACGCGATACCGGCGTTTCCTGAAATTTATTTTCAAGAATCATTGCCTGAGGATTGTGTATATGAAGATGTGGATACGCTTAAGTAATAAAACTATTAAAAAATAATTACGAATTTTCCATATCAAGAGGTATTTTTTAGATCAATATACAGGGAACATTTGGAAGCATTCTTAGATGCTATATTAAGCTTAGATTTCAACACTGTTGAGACTTTATGGAGGGAATTTTGGAGATCTCAATACGATGATAATGGAGATGAATGCGAAGAAGAAAATTATTTTTCCAAGTAAGTTTTTTTTTCCTGCTCGGGATTATTTAGATTATTTATTATTGATTAGGTCCAAGCTGTTTTCCCTTTGCTCACTAGAACCAGTTCAAACTTTCATAAAACAAGTGGATTTGATGTTTTACCAGAACCTTATCCAGATATTAGTTCCTGATATTCTGAAGCCTTTTCCAGTCAGTCATGTCCAATCTATATGGTCCTTTGCTAATAGTAAGTAGAATAGCTTTTTCTACTGATAAGAGTGGTGCATCTTACACGAAACGGAAAAGAAACGTCCGACAATAAAAGTCTTGTTACATTGTTAGCAGATTTCCTCAAAGATTGTAAAAATGTGTATTCGTTGAATAACCCGAGATAATTTTGGTAACTATATTATTAAGATCTATGATTTGATGGAAAACATTTTAAAAATTCCATTTTTCATAGAGTGTTAATTTTAATACGTCTGCATGTATTAATTAAAAATCGATGAAAAATTTTCCTGCCCCAACCAGTATTTGAACCCAGGACCCCTGCATTTCTAGTGCAACGCTCTAACGAACTGAGCTACCAAGACCTGTTTCATTTTTACCTTGTCGATCAAGTCTTTCATCTTTCATCAATTTTTAAGTTGTTAGTTGTGACCATCGGCAACCTTCGGCCGTAACCGTTGGTGTGGGAGTGAGTTAGGAGGTATGGGGAACACATTAGCAATTAATGGTTGTTTGGAATCCATCATCCCTTCCATTATCCCTTCAACTAGGATGCGTCGTCGATATATAGCGAGATCGGCAGGCATCGCATAAGACGCCCAACGTGTTGATGGTTGGGTCGTGACTGTTAGAGCGTTGAACTGGAAATGCGAGAGTCCTGGGTTCAAATCCCAGTCGAGGCAAGAAAATTTTTCATCAGTTTTTAATTAATACATCTTAATGCCACTAAAATTAAAACTATAAATTATATAACAGACGATAAAAAACTTCTAAAAAATTCAATTTTTCCTCATTTCGCCCTTCTATCTGTTGTCCCATCCGCCCGTTGTCGGGCTCCGCATTCTAGTTTGAATTACTACAGCAGCCCGATTCTCCTCTCAGGGAGAGGAGAGCTCCCCAAGAGAACAAATTTTTCGTCTTTATCATTCTCGTTCATTTTTCGATTACGTTGACAAGGACAAAAAATTCATTCTCTCGGGGAGCTCTCCTCTCCCTGAGACGAGAATCGGGCCCCTGATAAATTAATGTATCTGGGGACCTGGGGAGAGAAAACCTTAAATTTCTGAGAGGGTGGGTGATGATATCTTCGGAATGGATGCTTTATATAATTACGATCGAACTTCAGGTAAGTTCATTTTATCGTTAATTTATATTTCAGCATCCATTCCGAAGATATATTAACTAGATAGTTGTTTAAAGTACAGGATATGTTAATTTACCAAAGCAAATAACAAATAACCATCATTTTATACTCAGTTTATTTGAGAAACGAAATAATAAAGAATATGGAACTCTTAAGACAAAACTATTTGTTGGGTCGAGTAATGAGTATTATTATAACAAAAACAGACTTACATTCCTAGAAAACAACTTAAATCAATTTTTCGTTAGGGCTAAAATGGTTTTAGCAAAATCAGAAGCCTTGTTTAGAGGCCTATCATAGAATTTTGCAACAGTCGCTGAATTATTAGTCCAACCTGCTGTTCTACAAATGGTCTCAACAGAAGTACCTAGTCGGTGGGCAGCAGATGCTGACGCGTCGAATGGGGCCTAAACTGAGACACATCGATTTCAGATTTTTTGAGGGTATCTTTTACCCATTAGAAATTGACTGTTTTGTGGCCCTTTGACGCGGTTTCGACTAAGTAAGAAAAAGGGAATCTTCTCTAACGCAAAGATTTTCTTTCAAGTTGATCTATTTCTGTAAAGTGACTGCCGGACGAATTGAAGAATTTCCGAGTTCGCGCGCGAACGGCTTTGCACTTTGTGCAAATTTTATACTTACGTTAAGTTGGATAGCGTTTGGGTTAGTTTGTGTAAGTTTGAGACAGCAATGGTAAAACGTCTATTTACGTTAAATTAGATAGGATTTGGGTTAGTTGATGTTCGTTTTGATAAGGATATTTCCGGCTTCGCCTCTTCTAGTTATCATTGAAGAATGAATAATTCGGAAATGGCGAGGGTTTGAAATAATTTAATTTTTTTCGACTTAGAATCTGTACCTAAAGGTCGTCTGACAGAGTTTCTTCTATTTAGAATCTTCGCCCGTAAGGTGTTCTAATAAGTTTGCAACGTCCTTCAATTTCTATTTAAAAATCACTCTCAGCAAGATCACCATGTCTCGTTCCTTGATTTTTAAAATAGTACAGTAGTATGAAACATTATAGGCATCTAAATATAGGCTCCCACTATCGATTTAAAGCAATTATCATTCCAATTTCTACAATTTCAACTTCAATGATAACCGTGGAATAGGCTTGGAAGTGTTGGTTGTAGGTTTAATTCTCATCAGTGGGATTTTTTTTTATAGGATAAGGAAAAAAATATTGAACCAACAAAACCTGTTTTTTGGGAGATTTGCAACCCCTCCAGACCTCCATCACAAAAAAATTCCGAAATTCAAATTTTGAATTTTTTCGCCTTATACATAATATACCGGGTGCCCACGAGATTTCTTTCAGGCTGTCATTTTTTTATTTGTTTATCGATATCAACGAAACTTGGTAGGCTTGATATTTTAACGAAACGCCATTTTTATGCATTTAGGACAATTTTTCCTGACTTCCGGTTTCACCGGAAATGACCGAAACTTTTGATTTTCAAATGGCACACCCTGTATATTGTTTGCTTTTCGGATTATACAGATCGTTTTACGTCCTAATGTACCACTTTTAAATCGAGTTTTGTCCAAATTTCGTTTTCAAAATTAAATTTTAAGAAGAGAAAAGAAATTACCTACATAATAAAACAGAAATATTTGAACGAAAATTAAGAAAAATGTCGTAGTGTATTATATCGTTGGATTCGCTTTAAAAAACTGCATTTAGTAATGTTATGAAAGTGATATGTTTCTATTCTAGTTTTTGAGCTAAGGCAAAAATACCAAAATAATGAAGTTTACAGCCCTCTATCAGAAAAGTTTACAAAGATAAAATTGAGTTTGTATTTTTCTGAGCTTAAGTAAAGTATGTAGAGTCATTTTAGGATGATCATGGCACTCTAGTTAAAAAATTAAAATTTAATTTAAAAACAAAATTTTGGCAAAACTCGATTCAAAAATTGTGCATTAGGATGTAGAACGACCTGTAGAATCCGAAAAACAAAAAATATACAGGGTGTGCCATTTAAAAAACAAAAGTTCCGGTCATTTCCGGTGGAACCGGAAGTCAGGAAAACTTGTCATAAATGCGTAAAAATGGCGTTTGGATAGAATATCAACCCTACCAAGTTTCGTTGATATTAATGGTCAAATAAAAAAATGGCAGCCGGAAAGTGATCTCGTGGGCACCCGGTATATATTTTTTTAATTTTCAAAGTGTCCTAACTCCAAAACGAAAAGCCCGGGAAGAAAACTTCAAATATGAAACTTGTAGAATACTACAAAAAAGCCCATAACAAGTATCCCTCCACGGGGCACCGTTTTCGAGAAAATTGACCTCGAAAATTTCAAAAAAATTCCAAAAATTTCAACATTGACGGCTAAAGGGCCCCATACACTACGATGAAACACGACGGTTTTCACCGCCACGATGAAACACGTCGTTCTAAAACCGAAGTGTGTAATAGGAAAACACGACGGTTTTCTGCAGGGCCCCACAGACTACGATAAAACACGACGGTTTTCATCGCCACGATGAAACACGTCGTTCCAAAACCGAAGTGTGTGGTAGAAAACCGTCGTGTTTCATCGTCGGTTTAAAATTCAGTCCGAGTTTGATTTTTGGCACGACGGTTCAACATTTCGTAAACACGAACGGTTTTCTACCACACACTTCGGTTTTGGAACGACGTGTTTCATCGTGGCGGTAAAAACCGTCGTGTTTCATCGTAGTGTATGGGGCCCTGTAGAAAACCGTCGTGTTTTTCTATTATACACTTCGGTTTTAGAACGACGTGTTTCATCGTGGCGGTGAAAACCGTCGTGTTTCATCGTAGTGTATGGGGCACTTAATATCTCAAAGGCGAAAACGACCTAGAATTTATTTCATACTATTTCAAAAGAAATATTACTCGAAATGATCGGTTAAGAAATAGCACTATAAGTGAAAAAGTGGCCTTGTGTCGGGCACCCACAATGTTTTTCTGGTCAAAATCGAAATTTCCTTTTTCATTTTTTTCCGGCCTCAAGATGCGCCGTAGCGAGGAGGATCAAATTAGCTTTTCGAAGTATTTTTCGCCTCTCTTTCCAATGTTATATTTTTTTTTTTTCGAAATTCAAAATATGAATTTTTTCGATGAAAAAATCTATGGGAATAGGCTTTCCATTTTTATTTAAATTTTCAAAGCGTCCTAACTCGAAAACGAAAAGCTCGAGAGAAAAACCTTAAATAAAAAACTTGTAGATCGCGTCAAGTACTACAAAAAAGCCCATAAGAAGTATCCCTCTTCGCGGCACCGTTTTCGAGAAAATCCAACTCGAAAATTTTAACAAAATTACAAAAAATTTCAAGTTAGACGGCTAATATCTCAAAAACGAAAACGGCTTGAAATCTCAATAAAAAAATATTTTGTAGGAAATTTACCTCGTAAATTTCAAAAATTGATAAGTGGAAATATCCTTGGTGAGAGGGATATTTCCGGGTGCAATTTCCAAAGCGACAATGCCGCGCGGCGTTCGTCGGAAACCCACCTTTAGGTTGTCATTTTTGGCATTGAGACCAGCTTTTCCATTTAAAACGCATTGATGTCAGAAATCTGTCAAAGTGTATATTTTTTGACAAACGCCATTTAAATGGGAAAGATCAATAACAATCACCATCACAGGACACATCACCATAATTAAAATATTCGAAACAACGTGTAATAAATAAATTTCAAACTCGGGAAATTTCCTATCAAAATATAACACGTGCATAAAATATTTCCTAAGGGAAAGTTTTAAAAATTTTGTCTTCAGCCAATTTTTTAGAACAAAACCATTCGTGTATAGCGCCTAGGAAAAAATCCCTCACCCTTCGGGTTCGGGATTTTTTCAGGCGCTATGCACTCATGATTTTGTTAAAAAATTGGCTTCAGACA